TTTCATTTGGTTTTCGTTTGGAAACACCATGTATACTATTTAGCAATCAAAATTTATATGGTTTAACTTCTGCTATTTTAATTCTTGTGTTCCATAATTGCTTCGAAGACCTCTGATCCTCAGATCTCTTCCCTGTGAACTTTTCTTTGGTGATTTTCTTCCTACAACTTAAACATGTGGCAATATCGTTCAAACGAATTATATTTCTTTTTCAAGCAACAAATCAATGGGGTCGTCCGCCCCCATCCCCATCTGAAGACCTCAGATGCTTTTCCCGCTCCTCTGCATCTCTCGCTGCCCTCAGCCAGTCAGTAATCAAATCTTGCACAGTCTAATTCCCAATTCCTCTCCTTTCCTTCCTCACTGCCAACATCCTAGCTCAGGCCTCACCTCCTCTCGCCTGTACTATTTCCATCAGTTTCCGTCAGCTTCCTCTCTGAACTGCAGACGTCTGGTATCATCTCATTTTCAATCATCTGCTACACTCCATCAGATTACTTACCCTTAGACATAAAACAACAACAGCCGAAACAGACAACCCACCCCACGTTTGGTTATCATCTGACTCAAATGCCTCCATTACCTATATAGACTGTCAAAGATAAGCTGGATGCTGGTTAAAGTGGGAAGGACAGATTTTAATCAGTATTACAGTCATGCGCTGCATAACGATGTGCCAGTCAACCACAGACTGCGTATATGACTGTGGTTCCGTAAGATTAGTACCATGTAGCCTAGGTGTGTAGTAGGCTCTACCATCTAGGTTTGTGTAAGTACACTCTATGATGTTCGCACAACGACGAAACTGCCTAACGACGCATTTCTTAGAACATATCCCCGTTGCTAAGTGATGCACGACTGTATGCTGTTGCAGTAGGGAAAAGAGTCCAGTGCAAACGGAACTCAGTTTTGATTTGTACAGATGGGATCGGGCATTTTAAAGGGAGAATGAGGGAAGAGTAGGGGGACGAGCAGGGCCTCAGGAGAGTCAGGGAAGTGAAAAATTACAGAAAGTGGGAAGGGGGGGTGGTTGAAATGAAGCTCATCTGGTTTTGCTAACTGGCACTTATGAAAGTTAGGTTCGCCTCCTCCCACAGAGGCTGGGAGACAGGGCCCCTATTTCCAGGTGTTGGCTGGAACAAATGACAAATTATTTTGGATTTCCTTAGGCTGGCACTTTAAGGGGGACAAGAGTCATCCTAGGCATGTGGCCTTGAGCTATTAGAAATTATGTTAGTGTTTGTTCAAGTCTTCAAAGGCCGAAGTTAAGACCTAGTCAAGAAGAAGAGCCTGGTTAGAGTTTGGTCAAGGAGAGACTCTTCGTGAAAACAAATTCAATATCTTGACCATGGTAGATAAGACCTTGTGTATTTAGACTTCCTTATATCTTGGTGTTGCCCACTTACTGCAGAGCCTTCATGCTCCAACCACATTGATTTTCCCCTTGAAATGCGTGCATTTTCTCAGATCTATACTTTTACATGTACTGATTCCTTTTCCTGAATATTCCTCCTTCTGTAGAGGAAAGTAAAACCACCCCGCTGTGAAGTTCTTCCAACTCTGGGGCCAGTCGTCCACTCTCCTCTGGGTTCTCAGAGCACTTTGCTCATAATTCTAGCATAGCACACTCTACCTTGTCCTGTTTTCTCTGTGTTTACTTGTATGTCTTTCCTGCCCATAAAACTGAGCATGAAGAGGAAGGGACCATGTTAATCCAGCTTTTCCTAAATGTTGGAATTTAGAATACCACCTTTGCAATTTCTGCCATATACAACTCCACTGGAAACCACAATGTTTCAATGAATGGCTGAAACTGAATATTGTGATTTGCAGGAAAAGGCGGTATCTACACCATGCATGCTGGCTACATTTCCAAATGGTATGATGCCTGAGCATCCTGCAATAGACAAAAAAGAAGCCAGCAGATGGAATAAGGAAGAGCTGAGATGCAACATAGAGCAGACAAAAAAGGAAGACAGAGTGGGAGAGAGAACTCACATCATGGCGGAACCCTGGACCCAGTTGTGCCTGATAAACGACCTCTGAAGTCCAGATGTGCAGAAATTGCAATGTGTTCACCAAAACACATTTCTTCTTCCTCTGGTGCACACAGCAAGACTACAGTTCCCAGCCTCCTTTGTATTTGGGTGTGGCCTTGAGTTCTCACCAAATGTGGCTGGAGCACGTATAATGTATTTCCAGGCTTAGCCCATAAACACATCCCACGAGCGATCTTTCATTTCCTTTTCCTATCCCTTGGGTGGGAGGCTGAAGGCTTGGAGAAGGATCCTGCGGCCACCTGACTGCGATAATGCCACTGAACCGTGCCATGAGCAAAAAGTAAAGATTTGTTGTGTTAAGATACTGAGATTTGGGGGTTTAACTTTTTAAGCAACTAGTGATTAATACCTTAACTAGTCCATTTAGATGTTAACCTTTCATTGCTTAAACTAATTCAGGCTGCATTTCTGTTGCTTGCAGCCAGAGAGCCCTGCTTACAACATTTGGCCATTTGAATGTAATTAAAGTGAGGGAGTGGTGGTGTTGCAGTGGAAAAATACCGGGCTTAAAATCAGAATATCTAATTTTCCTGTCCTTGCCCGATTAATTTTATAATTCTCATTAAGTGCATTTTGGGTTTACATTTGTAAACTGATTTACTTTCTTGGGTTTGACTTTTACCATGGCTTTTTAGCTAATCTAAGCTTCACTTCCATTGCTTGATTCCTCCAGCCTCCACAGCAGCATGGGGACACTTATTGGTTATTTGAGCAATCAGGCCAGTGATTGTATGACACGGTCTTTCTATTTAGTGATTGCTTTCTTGCCAGGTACTTGGAAAAGTCCCAGAAATCATCTTTCGAACCTCTTCCCAGGCTAACTATTTTTAAAAATTGTTTTGGAAATTTTCACACGTGCACGAAAGTCAGGAGAATACCATACAAACTGCCATGTAGCCATTACCAACCTTCAAACCTTATCACCATAACATTTGCCTATTTTATCTCTTCTGTTCTCTGCCCTCCCCTTTTTTCATTGCTGGGGTATGTTAAAGCAAATTCCACGCATAATGTTATTTTGCCTGTAAATATTTCTGTGTGTGTGTGTATATATGTATGTATGTGTGTTATATATATGTTTATCTATGTAAATACATGTGTGTGATACACACACACACACACATATATATATTTATGTCCTAACAGATAAGGACTTTTTTTTACCCTAAGCACAATGCTGTTATCACATCTCACAAAATTGGCAATAATTCCTCAATAACATCTAATGCTCATTCCATTTAAAATTTCCCCAGTTATGTTAGTAATGTCGTTTTACAATTGGTTTGGTTTCAATCAGCATCCGAAAAGAAAAAATAGACACATTGCATTTGGTTGGTGTGTCTTTTGAGTTTTCTCTAATCTATAAGTGACTGTTAGCTGTAGCTGTTAAACCACTGCAAAACTTCGGGGCTCCAATAAACAATCTTTTATTTAGTGCAAGATTCTGTGGTTTGGCAATTTGGGCTGGGCTCAGGTGTGGTGAGGTACTGGGTCAGGGGAAGTCTGGCTGGGGAAGGAGGAGGAGCTCACCTGATGGTTCATCTTTGCTCTGTGCCGTCTCTCCTCCCCCAGGACGCTAGCTTGGGTTTGCTCACATAGAGCCTGGTTTCCCTAAGCAGCAAGTGGGAACTCCTGCAAGGCCCCTGGAAGTCTAGGCTTGCACTGCATATGCTACTTTGTCACAGTCCATTGGCCAAAGAAGTCACATGGTCAGCTCACATTCAAGGGGTGGAGAACTGAACCTTACTTTTTGATGGGAGAAGTTGCAAAGTCACGTTGCAAAGAACATGGCTACACAAGGAGGGGAATAATTGGTGGTCATTTTACAATCTACTTATGGTCACCTTCAATTTCGTCCCAGCAAATATATTTGAACTACCATAACCCTTAAAACCTGTCAAAGAGTACGTATTTCTTAAAGTTTGTATTTTAAGTGCAAACTAACTATTCTTAAGCTGGTAGAAACTGATCACTTACAAAGTTTAAAGAAACACTGGATCAGGGGCCCTGAGATCTTTTTGTTCCTGTATAAAATTTTATCCCAAGTTTCTGTCAAATAGTAAGTTCAATTCATGAATCCATTTACTTCAAATAAGCCTTTACAATGTCTGAAAAAATTCCTTAAGATATATAGCTAGAGTCCAAGAAAAGGTTTTGAATAATTTCAATTTCAGCAAATGAATAGCAGATTTTTTTTCTCTTTCCAGAGGATTACCAAACGCATGGGAACCATCAGGAAGGGAATTCTATTTCTCTAGTCCAAGATAATAATTCAATAGCAGACAAAGAAAGCTATTTATCAAAGCTATCTGTAGACCAAAAGCCTAATTTATGTGGTGGGAACATTTCTGCCAAATACTTTGTAATAAAGAAAAATGATCAACTGTTAAATACCTTACTGGGTCAGCTTAATTTGGTAGTAAAGGGAGGTGATAGGAAGGTTGATAAAACAGCTGTAAATCTTTACTGAATACACAGCTTTAATTGTCTGGCTCTAGACTTAACAGGCTTTACTTGTGATGTGTGGAGCCAATTCATGCCAGCTTGTGAGAGCCAGTTGTACTAGGCTCTTTCTAATTCCATGTTCAGTAAAGTCACGTTGGTTGCTTGAAATTGGCCAGAGTGGGAGTATTTACACCATGGCAATAGGCATATGCTATAAATCAGAGCTTTTTTTTTTGGATAGTCAATTATTAAACATCTATAGCATACCACTGACCTTTACTCACATAAAAAAGACAGGCACCACTTTCTAGAAGTATTTAAAAAAGGTTTCTTTTGTACTGGAGGACAGCCATAGTAGAGGAGAGGAGGGCTTCTTTTGGCATCCTTTTTATTTTTATTTTTTTGCTGAGGAAGCAGTTAACATCTGTGCCAGTCTTCCTCTATTTTTTAGTATGTGGGCTGCCAGCACAGCATGGCCGCTAATAGAGCAGTGTAGGTCTGTACCTGGGAACCGCATCTGGGCCGCCAAAGTGGAATGTGCTGAACTTAACCACTATGCTCCCAGGGGTGGCCTTTGGCATCTTTTCCATCAAGCTGTGTTTCCAGATTGCTGGTGGCCTAGTTGGATATGAGCAAAGAAAGAGCACCTTTGAGAAATGAAGAGAAGCAGAAGAGAAAAGAGCAGGAAGTGTGCTTGGTCCCTTGCTTACCCTATTGACTCGGACTTTCATCAGACTCAAGCTAGACCCGCTCTTAGCTTGTTTCTAAGTGTTTACACATCATCTGAGTCTGTCAGCAAGAAAGGCAGAAATTGAAGCAACTTTTTCTGTATTAGAGAATTCTGCCGTTCAGCCCTGCGAGAGCCCCTTACCTGCTGCGTCTCCCATCTCCAAGACAGAGACGGAACACCTGTTCTTCCCCACTGCGCGAGTAGTTGTGGTTGATGCCATGTTGTCTCTCCCTGTAGGGCAAGAAAGGGAATAGAATGAGATTACTGAAGAGTCATGGCTCTCTGTGGAGAAGGAAAAGGGTTGGAAGTCATCAGGTATGATCTTGCTGTTGAAAGTGTAATTCGTGGGCCAGCAGCATCAGCTTCGCCTGGGAGCTTGTCAGAAACGCAAGAATCTCAGGCCCCAGCCAGACCTACCACATTGGGCTCTGCATTTTAACAAGATCCCAGGTGAGTTTTACGCATTATAAATTTGAGAGTGATCTAAGTGACGGTTTTTCATGGGAGCAAGAAATACCCATATGTTTTCTTGTCGAGTGTGCATTTTAATCTTATTTCTAGCTCCTTTTTATTTCTTAGCCTTTTTTTCCCACTTTTAGGTTCCCATTTAAACCTCATACTTAGCAAACTGCTTGGCCTTTCCAGGAAAAACATTTACATAATTATCATAGTAGAAAAATGTATAGTGATTTACCTAAAATAGTAGCATACTTACCTTGGGAGGGTGAGGACGGTGAGCATTAACTCCTCCTCCCTAATAGCAGCAATAGATCAGGGAAAAAATGTAAAAATCAAGAAATAGCAGTATCAGCATATTATTAGGAAATGTGAAAGCAACGACCAGGATTAAAAAGAAATGCCTAAATGAGTTAAAGTTGTTGGCTCTGAGAAGAAGGACTATTTTTTAAAAATTACGTTTGGACTATATATATATATTTTTAATGTGTATATATTACTTTGATGTCATGAAATCCTGTATTTTATGCATTCCTGTAAACCATCTTAGATCTTTTCTGAGAACAAGGTGGAATATAAACCAGCAAACAAAACCAAAAACCTGCCCCAAGGGGAACAAGCAACCTATAGCGGTGGCTAAAATAGGAGATGCAGTGGTTTATGCAAGGAAAAGATGTCAAGTGTAGTAACTTAGAGAGGAAATGAGCTCTTCATACCAGTGATGACCTAAATTGGTGACCTTATGTTTGAAGGATGAGATGAGGAAATCTGGGGAGAAGAGGAGAGATAGAGAAGCCATATGAGGTTGTGGTAGGGTAATATTCACAAGAGAAGTCCACACTACCAGGAGAGGAACTTCTCTCAGAGAGCTCTCTCCAGTCATTTATCTGCCAGAGAGGAAAGACTGAAGTATGCTCTAACAGGCAGAAACTATGAAATATGGAAATGCAAACCACGAAACAGGAATAGACTTTAGAATCATTTAGGGCAGTGATTTTCAAACTTTATTTTATCTGTTCAAGTCTTTTTTTTTCTTTTCCCCAAATGAAATCTTACTCTGAACTCTGATGCATTAAAACAGAAGCACCAGAGCTGCTGGAGTGGAAATAGATGGCCAGCTGTGGCCAGCCTGGCCCCACGAACCTCCATCTTGCCTTCAAGATGCTCTGCGCTCTGAGGAACACAAGCAGAAAGTAAACCATGGGGTAGCTCACAAACATCCCTCATTTTACTAAGGCTCGGGGAGACTCACGTAGTCTGCTCACGGTCATGTATGAGGTCAAAGGCAAAGCCAAGTTTTGACCTCAGTTTTCTTGACTTGGACTCCAGTGCTCCTTCCAGTTTACGTCACTGCTGCATGACATGTTTGGAGCGGCAGTCAGCGCCAAAAGAGTGTAAACTCTTCACAGGCTGGGGCCGGGTTTAACTTCTTCACTGCTGTAGATTTCTTGACGTGCAGCAGGCCCTCAAGAAATGCTTGTTGAATAAATGAAATATACAATGTCATAAGTTGGCTTAACTCCTTGATGCTTTTAGGGAGTGAAATGGAGTTGAAAGATGTGAGGAGTAGAGTTAATTCATCTTGTAAGATTCTCTTCTCCAGGAAGAGGGGTTAGTCCCTTGAAGATAAATGATCGACTATTTTTATCTCCTAAGCCTTACATGATCCTTTCACTATCCCGCTCCGGTCTGCTACTCCTCAGCCAGAGAGTTTTCACTTGTTTGGGATTAAGATCTTTTTTGTCTTCTTGTCTTTGAAAGGCCTAGAATGCAGCCATTCTTTAGACCAGCTCCTTTATAAGCTTTTTCTATGGAGATTGACTTTGGCTACGGACATACATGAGCTGGATCTCTTCTCACAGACCCGTGAGTTGGGTTGAAGGCATCCCAGCAGTGGCATCTCTCAGAAAAATCTTTATTCAGTTTAAATCAAGCCCTCTTCAGCTTTCGCTTTGCTGCAAACAGATAGCAGAGGCCGCGCCTGACATAACAGCTCAGCTGTGCTCACTCACTATAATCGCTTTTTAATGGCTTGTCTTGAGAAGGGGGCTTGTGAACAAAATCTGTGCATCGGTGTCAGAGTTTCCATTTAGCTCAGGTAAAGATGGCAGCTCAAGGCCATCTGTTTGATGACTTCCACCTGTGTCTTAATATGTGCCTCTCCCTCTTAGTTGTCCTGGGCACTTGACAATGAGAATGAACCTCAGGAGATGAGGGTTGAGAGGAGGAAAGAAAGAGCAAGCCATCAGCTCTTCAGATAAGAGAGTTACAGGCAGTAGCTTGGCTAGGCTGCCAGCCCATTCTCCAGGGCTGTGAGGTGTCCAAGTTCACTTTGTTTTTCTTTGGAAGAGTTAGCAAAAGGTATTGGTTGGCTGACCGACCAGCTGCACCCTGTGGCTGAAACGGCCTGTTTAGGCCAGAGTGAAATGGTTAGTTATTCCTGCATCCTTATTAATTATTCCGCTGCACTGAAGTTACCTTTCCAAAGAAGCAGCTACAAAGATCATTTTATCTTCACTGCCAAGGGGTTTGGACCAGAGGAGGCGCTGCCAAGACTTGGAGAGGCTGAGGATGACAGGCTAGTTTTTATGCAGGCAAATTGACCAGAGGGACTTTTAAAAAGTTGGCATCAAGACTTTTTCTCCCTTTTTTTTCTTTCTTCTCACAATAATGAATGAAGCATGTTAGGCTTGTTTTCAATTATGCAACAAGTCCCCATTCATTAGAAACCAAGGCAGCGATCCCAGCTGTATTTCAGTGACTTTGAGAGTGCAGCTCCCCATTTGGCTCAAGGTTGAGCAATTTCAGTGTTCAGCATCTGTGCTGCCAGCTCAGGTATCCCGGGAGTCATTAAATATTTGCATATTCAGGAAAGAGCGGAATCTTTCCTACTTGAGTTTAGAGGTCTCAGGGCTTGTCATTTGTTTCTGGGATATGGGGAAACGGGAAATACAAGAGTTCCATTCTGTGTTGCAAAGGAAGGGAATTGTCCTATAACCAGGTGGGTCAGATCCTCGGATGGCCCAACTCACTGTCTCCTCACGGTGATGCTCCACACGCTAAGAGCATTGTGGTTTTGGGAGTTCATGTTCTTATGGCTAGGAAATTCAGGATGTCACCATAAATCTAGCCTTTTGCATATTGAGGTGGATGAAAGCAGAATCCATTTATATTCCTTAGACCTAAATTGTCATCAAGTATAAGATATATCCTGATTTAAACATCATTTTTTGGAGGAGATTGGGGACTGGAGAGAAGAAACAGAAACATAGAAGTACATATGGATTCTAAGATACACTTCAATATCAGAGACATCAAAATGTGAAAAATTGCATTTTAGCTTTGAGAAAATAAATATATTATGAAATCATCGGAAAATAATGTCTTATTGGAACTGCATAATTAGATACCAGAAGGACTGGTTCTTTCTCTTCCGATCACTCAACGGGTCTTTGATGGCCAAGGTGAGCTTAAACGTTTTGTTGCTTCTTGAAGGACAAGAGAAGGATTGGTGTCTTGGAATGAACAAGTGTAATAAAGACAATAAAGAAAATTGCCAGGTAGAATAATGACTGTGTGCAAGACACCAAGCCAGATGCTTTGAATATCTTATTTCCATTCTTTCTATAGTTTAAAGACATGAGTATTATTAACCTTATTTTACAGATGAGGAAACTAAGGCAAGGGAAATTTACGTAACTGGCAAAAGATCACAAAACTAGAGGATTAAGAAGAGACTTGAAGTGTGTTCCGTTTGACTCTCCAAAGCCACGCTTCAAAGGAAGGGGAAGATGAAACGTTGAAGCTTTGAATCAAAGAGGAACAGGGTGGAAAAGGAGAGACCTAGGAAGTGACAAGGAAGGGAGGGCCTCTTTGGGGCTTTGGAGAGGATGCGGTTCTTGTCTCAGCTTCATAATTACAGCAAAGCTCATTATGTGGCAGGCTCCAGGCCAAGCACCCTGTGTGCATTGTCTTGTTTAATTCTCACAACAGTCCTGAGAAGTTCTTACTATTCCCATTTTACAGACAAGGGAACTGAGGCCCAAAGATGCAGTTATTTAGTTGGTAAGTTTAAACTGTAGTCTGACTCCAAGTCCTGTGCTCATGACTGGTAAATTATTTTGTGGCAGATGTGACATGTTTTCCCTGACAAGTTAGGACATCTCTTCCATATTGTCTCCCCAAACCTCCATTTCTCCTTCAGTGCCTGCCCCAGTCCCCCTGTGGTTTGTGTGACCCGTTTTATTAAGACCCAGCTTTCTTTCTGAGCTCACACTGAAGGAACCAGAAGGTGGCAGCATAACATTACACAGTGCAAACATGGGGGAAAAGGCACGTGTCTTCCCAACTGCATTAGCCAGGTCAGACTCAAATCTCAGAAGACAAATCACTGACAGGAAGACTGGCCTTAACAGTGCACCCTGTCACACGTGCAAACACATGGAATTCATTACTCACCAGCTAATCTGAGGGGAGAGGATCCCAGAGACCTCAGCTGAATGACAATGGTGGTCCCAGTGCCACAGGGTAGTGAGGATAGGGGGTCACCAAGACCTCGAGGAACCAGGAAAGGCTATTTTATTTTTATTTTAGGAATATTTTGCATCCTGACCCTCTAGTCCCACATTCCTATTTAGGTTTATCGAATAAGTGTTTGAAAAGTACAGAAGTGGTGGAAAGAGCAAGGAAAATGGGAGAAAGGAAGAAAGGAAGCCTTTGTTGTCAACGGACACGGACTCAGAGAGTTCCTCTGCTCTTTTCTGGTTGTGGGATATTAAACACGACACCCAATACCCCTGGACTCATTTCTTCATGCACGAAATGAGAGGACAGTGTCTGCCTTGCAGATTGTTGGCAATATTAAATAAGGAAAAGTCATGAAGTATTTTTAGGTGCTTAATCATGGGAACTATGTGTTTTCTTCAGATGTTTGTTTCCTTAGCTTAGAGAGGTATGGTAACTCCAAGAAAGACCAGGATTCCTACCAAAGAAGG